CACTCAAGAAAGAAATCAAAATTACTTCATTGAAGTCTAGCTATTTAGTGAGATAGGGAACTAAGCATAACAGAATCAATATTTGTCTTTTAGGTATTTTAACAGGTGAGCCCCTAACTCCTGACAGAACTGAAACCACTGAAAATGACTGAAAGACAGACTGCAGTGTTTGAAATCTGCCTGCCAAAAGTGCAAAACTTCACCTAGAAGTTCAATGGGAAAGAGTTGGAGTGGAATGATAAGTATGAAATCATCACATCTGATGATGGATTGGCCCACGCTATGAAAATTAAGGGTGTTCTGTCCAGTGACTTAAAGAACTCAGTGTTGAGACTGGAGATCTAGTGCAGAACAGTCCACTCTTCATAAGTAATGCAAAGTAAGCATCTTCAGGCAGTGGGTGGATCAAACACAAGATAACAGGGTTTGAGCTGCAATATCCATAAATTTAAAACACAAAGCCCTAGAGCTTGGGCTGAAAAAAATGGAAGCCGCAGTCTCATAAAGCTAGTCTGTGAATGGGCAAGCAGAGGAGCATCAAGACCTCGTTTTCACACTGGAAGTAGGCAAGCAGAGGAGCATCAAGACCTCATTTTCACACCAGAGGTAAAGTCCAAGCCTGGAATCTCCCCTACACAGAAGCCGATGTTATATCCTGCAAAGGCAAAGCCACCTGATTTTATTTATAAGGTGCTTGCTGGTATGTGCCATTTTTTCTTGCTAACCCTTTCCCAGGGGTTCCAATCAGTTCATCAGCAATCTCAAGAACGCCCAAGTGAAAAAGAAGGAAAAAGCCTGCCTGGAGTGTGTGCTGACTTCTGAAGATGTCACCCTGAAGGGGATGTAGAATGGATGAGTGATTGAGAGGTCTCCTCGGTACATCATGAAGCATGAAGGGAAGAGAGCAAAGCTTATCATTAATGCTGCTGAGCTGAGTGACTCAGGAGATTGCACAGCAATCGTAGGCTATGCAAGACTGACCTTAATGAACAGTACAGCAGTGCCAGTGTAACTGTGGAAGGTAAGTGTGAATGGCTCAAGAGAGGAAGAGGAGGAGAAACAGTAGTCTTTGCACTGTTCTTCAGTGAACTCTGCAGAGTAGTGCTGCTTTACTATAACAGCCAGGAAACCGATGTGAGATAACACTGCTCTGCAGTCTGTTTATTATTTAACATGGAATAAGCCGTTAGTCTGTGCCCCCTCTTGGTAGCATGCAGATAATAATTAAGGACTTCCCTTTGCTGTATAAAGCAGTAGAAGCAGAAAACAGTAAATCTTCCATTTAAGTCCTTGCACGTGTCATCTAAACCAGCCTAGTAAAGTGTATCGTGTTTTTTATTTTAATCAGGGTTGTCCTAATGAATTCTTATCCAGATTCTTTAAAGTGACCCATGGGACGTTTGACTGCAGTCTGCTGAGGACCAGCAGCACAACATGAGACTGGTAAATATTTAATATCACATTTGTTTTGTGAATTAATTTTGCAGTAGCATTATTGATGCTGTAAACTTAAGTCTATGATCTTTATAGAAAGACACAAGGCTGTTAAGAGTGAGAAAAATGTTGGAAAGCTTAGCTTCATGCTCTCAGAATAGGCTGGGGTAGAATTTCAAAGTTAGGGTGTGGATTTTAGCGGCTGGTAGTATTTGAGGTGACTTCCGTTAGATGTAGACCAGCTTTGAACTGTGCCCAGGTGCCTTCCATGAAAAGTGGAAGCATTAAAAGTAATTGCATGAAAGGAAGAAGATAAAATTATATTAGTGTGTCCTTCACAGGTTCAGGAACCACTGAATATTCAGTTGGTAGGATGGCATGAAGGAAACTTCAGGGGCCAAAAGAAGCTCAGCTGTGAGGTTAAGTGGATTTTCTCACATGGAAGACTGATCTGACCTAGTGTCCATCCCTGACAGATGTCTCTGAGACTGGTCTCTTCCTAATAGCCCTGTGCTTTCTGTGTCAGATGATGCCCCGCAAACCCTGGCCTGGTGTATGGACTTGGATGGAGGTCCTGGTATGTGAGTGCCCTCTGTGAGCCATGGCCAGGTTGGCCTGAAGGGACAGTGTGGGGCAGGGACCTTCTCTGACCGCTCCTCTGGGACAGAAACCACTTCTGTGGCACAGGTAACCTGGAAAGCCATGGCTGAGCTGCCTCAGACTCCTGTGCACGCTGGAATTGCAGGCTGATGCCTTATTTACAGATTGATCTCTCCCCATGTGAAGTTCAGGTTCAGATACAAATATTATGTAGGGGGTAGAGGAAGTGTTTGGCTGGTTTGATAGCTCCTCTAGACCAGCTAAGAGTCTGGAGCAGTGTTCAGCTTCAGCTTCTGGACAAGGATTCCTATAGCTACATTCCCTCCAGTGAACACCCAGAAGGGAAAAAAATACTTAGGAGCAGCCTTTCTCCATCCCCCTTTCTTCCCATGATGTCCAATTCACTAAACCACTTTCGTCCTGAGGGCTTGTCCATTTTGTTGTGAGGTCTCCCTGCTGTTAAATACCTTTTTGGTGTTTGAAGTGCTCAGTCAACAATCATTCTGCACAGCTTTTCTGTTCACATGCTTCCACCAGAATTTCTTCCAGAGGCATTTGAAACCATGAAGAGTATGCCTGTGATGCTCATGCTCTAATTGGGGATCCTTCCGAGCTCTGTGTTGTCCTGAATGATGCGATGGTAGAAAGGATATGGCTCAACGATGGCAAACAGGTAAAACGTCCATGGTATTGTCAGTATCATTAAATGCTGCAAACACTGGTGGAAGGTTTTCTCCAAATAGCTGCTGTGGGACCTGGCCTGGTTTTGATAAAGGGCTTCTGACTTAGGACAAACGGATGGACAAATCAGAGAAGAACAGAGCTAATCTTTCCCGGTCTACTACAGTCTCAGTCTTACTAAGTTTTGGCTTTGAATCTTGTCTTTTTCAAAATTTTCCTTCCCAGTCTCCTGTAAAGATGCTTTCACATTTGCTAACCCATTTTCTCAGCCTGTAGACTCGCATTCTTTCCCACAAGGTTGGCTTCTCACCACCCACCCTTCTTCTCCCAGTCTCTGATGCTCAGAGTAGTCACTAAATGTATCCTTTGCATGCTACTGTTACGTGCCACGTGGCTCATCTATGCAGACACACAGATCACTCTGTCCACATAACATTGAATTTGTTTTGTCCATAGGCCACAGAGCATTTTACCAGAGTAGGAGCTAGAAATCCTGACTGCTTAGTCATAGAGCAGGAAACTCTGGTCAGAGGATTCAGGGACAGGGTTGGAGCTGGTGTTTGCTGCAATGTGGGTTGTTTCCTGCCTCAATCTTCTTGTCAGATTACAGACATGAGAAGGATCTGGATAGTGAAGCAGGGAGCCATCCACAAACCTATCATTGACAGAACGGGAGAGGAGCATGAAGGGAGGTACACATTCAGAGCCAAGGGGGCAGAGAGTGAAGCAACTGTTGCCATTGGAGGTAGCCACCCCATCTCCTTACTGCTTTTACCAGGCATGCACAAACGCGTGCAGAATCAGTGCTTCACCTGGGCTCCTTACCTGGGCCTGTGTCATTTTACAGGCTTATCTGTCTGCGTGAGCAAAACCTCTTCTTCCTGCTGCTTTGTTCTCCAAGAGAAGAAAATTGAACAGTCGCACTGGCTGATTTTAAGTGACTAAGCATAGGTTTCTGTGTTTACAAATCAGTGATCAAGAATTTTGGCCTGAGCCTTTACTTCAAACATTGTTGTCATGAGCAACAAGAAAAACACCTTTTCTGAAATTATATATAGAAATACATAAATATGTGTATTACTCAGCTCTTGGCAGCCAGATGGCGCCAGATGGGCTTTCAGACTCGTCTGCAGCATGGAAATAAGCCTCTTCCTGTCCTCTGTGTCAAGGCAAGGCGGATAGGTACCTCTGCACAGACAGCGGGACAAATGCAGCAGTAAGGATGCTGTGGCTGCAGCACCCGATATTTATCATACCTGTGTTGCAGTAAAAATCCATCCACATCAAAGCCTTGGTATAGGGAGGGTTGATTTTCTTGCATTCAAAAATATTTTTGAATGGCTTTTTATGACTTTCAGCAGAAGATTGTAATTTCTAAACATACACATTGTGTGACAAAAAAGGAAAAAAAATAGGAATCTGGTTATTTTTCTTTATTGTGTGCAGGACATCCTTATCATTTTCCCATATTACTCTGTAACAAATGAGGGAGCGTTTTCTTTACAAGCAGTACCTAACGTTGATTCTACTGTCTTCATCATGATCATAGAATCATAGAATGGCTTGGGTTGGAAGGAACCTTAAAAAACATCTAGTTCAAACCTCCCTGCCATGGTGTTGTGGTTTAACCCCAGCCGGCAGCTAAGAACCATGCAGCCGCTCACTCACTCCCCCTGCAAGGGGATGGGGGAGAGAATCAGAAGAGTAAAAGTGAGAAAACACATAGGTTGAGATAAAGGCAGTTTAACAGGTAAAGCAAAAGCATACAGCAAGCATCAAGGTGCCTTTCAAGGCAAAGGCAATGCCCAAAGTCACATGGTTCAAAGATGGTATTGAGGTGACAGAGGAGGAGAAAGTGGTGATGGAGAAAAGCCAGTGACTGTGTTGCAATCAAAATCTGTGTGAGAGAAGACAGTGGAGCCATTATGCTGAATCTGAAAAATGACTGTGGCTCAGCTTCTGACAATCCTTACCTCAACTTTGTTGATAGGTCCTAAATTATTCATTTTACAGCAGGACAATCACTGATAGATATGCTGGGTTACAGCCTTTCTTTTTAAAAATCTTGCAGTGGGCCAGACTCTGAGTTATCCCATCGAGTAATTCAAGACAGTTTAGTTTTGCTGTAATCTACACTGATTTGCACCATGACAGGATATGACCCTCTAAATAATAGCCCTCCGTGTCATTCTGGTCAGCTGCTCACACTGAGACAAACTAAACCAACCCCCACCCCCTCACCCAGGGGAAAGCAGAGTTCCTGTAACACGTGGGGAAAATGTAAGATGAGATGGAAAGCACCCAAAGGCAATGGAGGAAAACAGGTGATTCACTTCATCATCAAGAGGAGGATGGCTGAAGAAAAAATCGTAGATCAAAGTATGGGTGGTGGAGAGCAACTACACATTTGCTACAGAGGAGGTAGAGGAAGGGAAAGCCTACTAATTCAGAATACATGCCATCAACTCCAAGGGCCTCATCAAGCCCCTGGAAACAGAAGAAATGTTTGCTGGAGAACCTGTTAGCCAGCTGTTTTTAATGTGGTTTCACAGTCCCACTTCCCATTGTTTTTGTCCTCTTCCTCCTTGCCAGTCCCCAAAAGAACACTGTCCCCTGTGCTTCAGGGGACAAATTCCAAGGACAGAGCTTAGAAGCTGCTTTGTGCTTAGGCTAATAACCAGGATCGAACAAATACCCAGGTCCTTTCACTGCAAGTGTTTCTGGACTCAGAAACCCCTCGACATGGACTGGCCACAAGAGAGGACTGACTAACACTCTGTTCTAGTGTCAGTTACGTAAGCGTAGTGGGATACGGCAGAAATGAAAAGTGGCTTTCTCTGGAAAATATTGTGGGGGAGGAGGGAAGACAATTTAAAAAGGAATGCTTAAAAACATTTTGTTTTGCAGCCAAAAAAGAAAATGCGTCAGCCAAAAACTAACTTGATTAGAAAACACTGCTGAACTATCTTCTGGGAGTTATAGTTTGAGTACCTCGTTTCCATTTTTCCTTTATCGACTGGGATCCCCAGTGAAAGGGGATTTGCCGTCCCCTTTCCCCAGGACCAGAGTGTATCACAGAAGATACGGTGCAAACCGCAAGCCTGGCCTATTGAAACATTTCAGAAAGAAAATTACCAAATTGAAGTAATGTATGTCAGTTCTCACCTACAACTTTGCTTTTTTGACCAAACTTCCCATGGATTAGTGAAGGCTTTTCTGAGCCCCTCTGTAATGCATTGCAGAAGAGCTCATTTTTTGAATACGTACAAGAATTGAAATGTTTCAACATTTGAAATGACAAAGGGAAGTAGATGGCAAAGAAAGAATCTATAGAAAAAGTTTGTGGCCATGAATAAACTTTAACATACAAGTTATCCTCCTTGACTTCTTGCTGTACATACATAAGTGTATATTTACATGCACACACACACAATTTGGAGTTAATGAATTCTGATTGTACTTTGCTAATTTCATTTTCTTCTGTGTAGAGCCTCTGAGACAGGTGTCTCAGCCTCAAGCTGTAGGTGTCAGGCAAGAAGATGTCACCATCACCTGGAACTTCCCAGCCCAGGATGGAGGCTCCCCAGTGCAAGGTTATGTCACAGACAAAAGGAAGAAAGGCAGCGATCTTTAGTGTCCTAATCACCAAGGAGCCAGTTCGAGGTCAGACCAGGATTATTATCTGTTTTATGTAGGCAGAAGGAACATTAGACAAGCTTTTAATCGAAAGCTGAATATTGATTAATCAAGGAAAATGTCATCATGGCATCTAGCAAGATACACCTTTTGACATATGCTGTTCAAAGCGGGATTTTCAGCCCTCAAATGGAAATGGCTTGATACCCACAAGCAACGATGAAAGGGCTCAGCACCTCTGAAAGTCACACCTATGGATTTGGGTGCCTAATTTCAAGCATCTATATTTTACATTTCTTCCTACCTGAATTTGACTGCTTTTCCCTGACTTAGACCAGAACTGAATTAAACAAGTGACTGATTTTGTTGTATCCATCAGATAGCAACCATATGATCCATGCTTAGCACAGCTTGTATAACACATGGGAGTGTTCCTATCAGCAGCAGCAGCTGACTAACGAGACTTTTCCTTTTCCTCTTCTGTTAATATTTTGGTTCTTTCTTGGATTCTTTCCTCTGTCTCATTCAAAATGTTGGACTTTCATATTAATTAAGTTACACTCAATCACACTATCTAAAAATATCCTCCTTAAAGCACCATTATTACTCCTGGGAAATAATGGAAACACTTTGTGAAGGCAAATTATTCAATTACTGAGGTTTTTTTCAGAATTGAATGGAGGTTTAACCTTGCTTGAAGGCTAGATTGTGAAAGGCTTGGCTACTATTGAGTTCATTATATCATGGGCAATGAGTCAGTGGAGCAAGACATGAAGATATTTTGCCCCAGCGTGTGTGATTATACCAGGCTATAGACCATAATCTAGTGGAAAACAAATTATGCATTTTTCCTCTTATTATGCATCAAAATTCCATCTCCTCCTTAGGGAGACAGTGAGATGAAAATGGAGCAGACCTCTGGAGAAATGAATGTTAGACCTAGTTAAGGGGCTCCCTGAACCTCTGAAATTTATACTGTTCTCCAGCAGTCACTGAGCTGAAATTTCTTCTTTGTTTATCTCAATCCAAAAGCAATTTAAAAAAAAAAAAATAGTGACCTCATGGGAACACTTTTATGGGTGATTAGAGAGTTGTGTAATAGCAACATGTGTGTCTCTAGGTACCAGATTCAAAGTGGATGGTTTTCTGGAGGATACAGAATGAGTTCTGTGTGATAGCTGTGAACCGTGCAGGCCCTGGATTTCTTAGCATGCCCTCAACCTCTTGTTGCAAAGGATCCCATCAGTATGTTTCTTTTACTGTTTAATGTCTAGTTTTCCCAAATGTGTATGTGATGATCAGATCTATGCATTTATGACTGAAGTCTAAGGGAACGTGGCAAAGTCCAGCCTGGCTCAATGTAATGGACTGCATTGTGTTTACTGCTTAACTAAAGATTAAGGCAGGCCTTAATACTGTTGGGTATAAACATAATTTTATTGTAAGTGCCTGAAAGTGCAATGTTATTCACTTAAAATGTCTAACTATTCAGATAAGGACACAGTAAGAGATTCCCACCTGGGGGGAATTGAGTATATGCAAAACAGCAGATATCAACATGATAAAGGTGCTCTAAGGTGTAGATACCTTCAGTGCTTAATGTTCATGTATAGGTTACTAAAGGTCCTAATGTATGACAAAGAAAATAATTTCTCGTACATGTTACTATGCTCCTTTCATCAGTCCCCCATCAATCCTTTTAAAAGAAGGGAAAACTCTTGCGGAATTCATGGAAGTTGCTTACGTTCTTTTATTTGAATGCTGGATTTTTAGTAGTAAAGAATCTGTGCCTAATTCTGGACTCATCAAACTCATAGACAAACTCCAAAGGATTACAGTAGCCTCAGAAATGCTGAAATGGGCAGATTTTATTTTGTGCCAGTTATAGAGAATCCTTACTCTATATACCATATAACTAAAGCATTTTAAAAACAAAAGGCTGTTAGAGGCCATCAGAAATTGCTTAAACTCTTGACAGAATCTTGCAATAGCTAGAGGAATGGGCCTTGGTAGGTGCACATAATTTGGAAAAAAAAAAACTGGCCAAGTGTGGAAGCTGGTAGAGCTAAAAACTGAGAGAATTCTATGTAGTAGACAAGAGCCTTGAGGTTAAATAGTTACTCAGATGGAAAAGCATTCAGGTTCCTTTACATCAGAAGACAACACAAAAACAATTTAAAGCCTGAAGCTATGATTCTTCTCTTTGAAGACTTGCATTATTTCACATTAGGCCTAAGAGAATATGTACTGTCCATATGCACCATATTCCTTATGACCCTGTGTGCTCATATGAATGTTCTGTATAAAAGCCATTAGCATCAAGATTGTCATGGCATGCTGCACTGGCTAACTTTTTTGGGTTGGGGATAGCAGGGAGAGGTCACTGCATTTTAGCTGAGACTTTCAGAGCAGAATGTGGATCCTGATACACAACTCCCTATTCCTTTGATTAAAAATATACAGATATTTTTAAAAGTTCCATCTTTGCTCTTCTTACATATTATGGAGAGCTAACTAGACTGCTGCAAGGTGGAGTAAAGAGCAAAAAGCAAGATCTGTATTTACAAAAATGTCTACTAATTAGGGGTACTGTAGTCTTTGGCAAATAAACCTGAAGAACATTAACAGGATCTTGCAAGCTAGTAAGCAAATACACTAATCCAAGCAGTCCAGATAGCACCTGTCCACTTTACACAGCACTTTAAGAGGGATTTATTAAACAGGAAGAAACACCAGGCACTCAAAGCCATATAAGACAGGTTATAGGAAATTTGCTGCAGAGCTCACCAGTCAGCTAGGGAGAGCAAACCTTTACTGCTAGACACCTCTCCCAAACATGTGGCAAATGAATGGTGGTCCAGCACTCATAGAAGATGCCCTTTTCAAGCTGAATTCAGATGTTTCCATGTCAAATGTTGTGAAGATTTTTCTTAAATGGCCAACCTTGAAACAGAGTCTACATGTATGTGCCATTTTAGGAATTGCACTGTTTTTTTGGACAGAATTTGCTCTGTGTTTACTAAGGCTCCTTTTACCCTAAAACCTTGTAGGTTCAGCATCTTGAAATAGGAATAGCTCTGTATTCAGTTATGCACGCGTAGGCCTGTGAGTAGGGTAGCGTGTCCCAGCTCTTCTGCTGTCGCAGAGCCTCCAGAACTGCTGAAGGTGGTGGATTTTTCCAACTCCAGCATTTGCTTAGCCTGGCAGGAGCCAGACCAGGGAGATGTGCTGTCAGGATAGATACTAGAGATGTGAGCTGAGGACACCAAGAAATGGACAAAATGCACCAAGATCCCTATCTCTAGTACCACTTACGCTGTGGGCAGCTTGCAGGACAGACAAATACTACTTCTGAACCCAAGCTGTGAATGAAGCTGGTGTGGGAGACACATCAGAGTTACAGGAAAGAATTCTAGCAATGCCACCTTCAGGTAAGACCTGCAGTATCTCTCCAGCTGCAACTCTCATCTGTCAGCTGTTACTTTCATGCGTTTTTAAAATACACCTCATTTTGTAAAGGGTTATCAAATTCAACTTGCACAAAGGAACATTTAGCATCATGGCTCTGCTTCTTTTTGCGGAGTTTTCAGAGGTGCTGAAATGGAGAACAGCACAGGCTGTGCAGTCCTTGAGCCAGATTAAAATCATTCTGCCATCTTTCTTGCTGAGCTGTCCCCTGAAGGAGTATGTCAGGTGTAATGGCAGTTGTTTCTTCCACCATCTGACCTCTCACATGTGATTACAGAGGTCACTGTTGGAAGATTCTCTGATTCCTGTCACAGATACTGTAGTCTGAGTATAGGTGAGGAGAGTAGGTACTACAGCAAATAAGCCATCATGTTTGAAATGCCTGTTCATTGTAAGTACAGTGATACTGAGACAGGATTATAATTCTTTCAGGTGCTCAGTTTGAATGGGATGAACAGTCAGGTGCCAGTCATGCTTCAAAGACACTAATTATGTCTTGAGAATGAAGATACCATGACCTGCCAGAAAATCCCTAGATAGCTTACTATTTGAGTCAGCAAAGTATTTAATTCTTTATTGGTTAGGACTTATGATTGCTTAATTATTAGGAAATTCAGACTTTTTATGTCTAAGATATACTCCCAGGTAACAAAGCATGGTGCTGACTGCCCTCAGTATTGGTAACACCAGCAAGAAAAGATGCACGATTCATGAGTCATGTTATATAACACTGAGTCCTATCGAGTAGAAGGACACTCGGGTTTGACTGAGGATGTCTCAGAAGGCAACATCCAGGTGACCAATGGAGAAGAGAAATAACCACTTTTTCTGTCTCCACTTTGGAACTACACAACCAGTCCATGCAGCACAGCTTTGTTAACACAAATCCCAGAGAGACTGCAGGCTCCAGACAAACTTCTCTGCTGTGGAATGGCAACATGCAGTACTGTACTGAAAAGATGAGAAGTCCTATAAGAAACAGATACACAAAATCATTTGTGCAGAATGTGGACAGTAAAATCATCTAATGAGGCATTAAAGCTGCCTCCTGTTTTTCTTTGTTCTCATTCACTTTTTACATAACCTATTTTCAAATGTTCCACCTGGCTCACCTGAAATTGTCCTGAATAGGTGCTCATCACTAAGCTGTTGATTGCTGAGGCATTAATGTTTCTCTTCTGGTGGTACAGGTATTAGGAAAAGAGCTGGCAACATTGCAACCCTTACACTAACTGCCTTCTGCTGGAACAGTTTGAAGTTTTCTTCTTCAGTCTCCGGGCATGACTCAACAGACTGAAGAATAGCTTTACTTTTCTATGCAATCTCTCACCCTTTTATTTTTTTTTTAATTTCTCTCTGTTTTTCTTTTATTCCCCTCTGCCATAAGTTTGATCTGACTGTGAGGCTGAAGAGCCACATGGTGGTTTGTGCTGGGACAGCACCATGCATTCATACGTCTTTCCCTGTGAGATTCTGTATTGTGTCCTGTCAGAGGAGAAATCATGCAGTTAGAGTTTTCTTGGGCATCTGGTGAAATACAGCTGCAGGGCTATGAAGGCTGTAGTTGTCCTTTGCCCTTTATCACATGAGCTGTCACTTTGGTTTAAAAGAAGTTGACTGTTGGAGAAAACTCATGCAGTGCTTTAGGTTCATGAAGTCCTGCATAACTGCTCACTATTTTTATGGCTAGTCTTTTTGTAAGCCTCCCTCTGGTGGTTAGGGTAGAGGGACTTCTGTGCATGCGAGTTTGTCAGCTTCACAGTCCAGCCCCCTGCAGCTGGAGCAACAGTGTTCAGCAAACCATAAAACATTGGGGAAGCCCTCCGATTCATCACAAGAAGCAGAATTTTTTTGAGTATACAACTACAGTTCGTGCGAACTGAAGTAAAATCATTCTTGATTGAACCTTGAGTGACCTAGGGGAGTGATCTCGTTGTAAAGACAACGCTTGAGGTCCTAACACTGTCCTTTCTGAAGTACAATTTCTATTAACATGGATATTGAGCTCCTTTCTGTAGAGGCTAAGGGCAATTTCTGTGCTTTCCTTTTTGTTAGCCTAGACTTCTGCACAAGCTGAGGCTTTACAGTACCTTGCAGATTCAGTCCCAGTCTAAGAATATACATCTCAGTCTAAACTGTGGAAGTTTGTCTGTATCACACCAGCTGTTTTCTGTCAGCTTTCATCAAACTAATGAACTGTAGCATAAGGTTTATGTGGCATCTCCCAAGCCAAGCCAGCTCTATGCCCTGGCTGCAATGACACTGAGGACACTGACCCTCTGAATTCACAGGAGCAGTGGTACATCTCCAAAGACAGAGGTAAGATGAAAAATTCCTGATAGTGCTGGAGGAAGATGGGTGCTCTTGCACACAAGACTGTGGACTAAGCTTAGGGTCCCTCTGTGGCCCTGGGTATAGCACTAACCTACGCTGCACCTCAGGTCCCTTCCTGGGGAATAGACATGAGAATACCTTCTGTCCTGTCCATTTGATGGCAATCTCTTTAGGACCAGGCTTCCTTTTACTACATACATGTGTAGCACATTACATAGCAGTTCATACAGATGCTGTTTAAATTAAAATTCAAGGCAGTAGAGGCCATCCATGTACAGAGAGAATTATATTATCATGTCTTGACATAACAGAAGATGGGTGTTATAAATGTCATCTGCCTTGCAGCATATTTCCAGTCTGACTGGGATTTGTTTCCTAAATGAAAAGCAAAAAAAATCTGTCACATGTAGGAGACTGTGCGACAGTCCTTCTGGGCCAGAAGCTATAAGAAGTCCCTAAAAGCACATTAAATTAAACACTCATAGGTCATCCCGTCAGGTAAATGCCTTCTCCTTTGTTCAGTTGCTCCCTGCTCAGGCCTAATCAGTAATAAGGATGTCTCATTAGCAGTACTCCCAAGCAAAACTGAACACACCCCAGCTCATCAAATCAAAATAGTAAGTGATCCTTCTGTCCAGTCTGGGGCAAAGCAGAATGCAGTTACTCTGAATAGTGAGATCCAAGCCAGTTGTTTTTGCTTGGCCTATGCCTGTTTTAATAAACAATATAATAATATAAAATGAAGTATATATTAACATATATTACCAGACTATGCATACATTTCTTCAGAAACCTATCCACATGCTGCCAAAAGTCTTCTAATCCCGTTAAGAGTAATGGGCAATACATTAAAATAACAGGATAAGTAGTACACTAAAATGAGTAATCAGGTGTCAAATTGTGTATTTGTATTTAACAATCAGCCTTCCTTGATTGATGTAACTATACCATAGGTATGTTACTTCTGTCACATGGCCAGCTAAGAAAGAGCAGTTCAGTTCTGTGGCTCTAGTCATGTTCTTGTATGGAAGTACACTAGGGCTGGATCTTAGAGAGTCTGAAATAACTTCAGTAACTTCTGTGTATGTAGGCAAGTTTAAGAGTAGTAAATGGAGGAAAGCTAGGTTGGTTGTGCCTTCCTTGCAGTCCATTCCCTTGGTAACAGCCTGCCTGTCTTCAGGGAGGACAGCAGCGCACAAGCAGATGTAAACTGATTTCCTATTCTTCATTATAAACGGCAAGTCACAAGGTTTATTTGCACAAACCTCAGAGATGGTAGAGAAACTCTGAAGGATAAGGAGATAAGCTGTTTTCTGAGAATGAGGTCTCTATCAGAGAATTTTGCTATACTGTGCTACATTTAGGATCCAGGGGATTTACCTGATGGGACCCTGTGCCAATGCAAAAGGAGATAATAAAGACTTCAAGAAGCATGCTTAAATACAGGCTGAAAATGGAAGATTTACAGTGGACACTGGAAATTAAATTGCACATGCAGTTCCCCTTGATTCCCCCAGAGCACTCTGTAGACTATTAATGCCTCAGAGCAATGCCAGCAGAGCAATATCCCTTCCTTTGCAAGATCACCTGTTTTGGTTTATAATTGGGTGTAATTTAATAATGCATTTCTAAAGTGCCTTGGGAGCCAAATATCCAAAAGCACTTTACAATTTAATGGCATTAGTGAGAGAAGGCTTGATATATCCCCACGGAGCAAAAACCTGACACCTTATTTACAGACCAAGAAACAAAGAAATTAATTGCTTGCTTACAGTTGCATGGCAGATTAATGGGAGAATGAGATTTCTGATTCCTTCCTCTCTTGCTTTTCAGTTTGTATTTGTTTACATGTTGAGATAGGTATGCTGGTCAGATGCTGACAGTAATGTGGCGTATTGTTTATTCTTCCTCCTCCCTGAGTTTTCCCTGGTGGGAAAGAAGGTCGAGGTCATGAAATGTTATACCCAAGCTCTTTGGATTTGTACTCATGCAGGAGAAGACTCTCTGTCTTGATGGCACTGGCTCTGTGTTTGCCTGTTTGTGTAACAGACAGTGTAGTATGAAGCACCCCATAGTGAATCTGTCCTCAGCAGAGTGTTTTGACTTCAAGATGGAGTATCCCAGGAAGGACTGTGCTTCCCGTTTCATCGCCCCACTGAAGAATCACAGCATGAGTCATGGCAACTGCTGTTGCTGTGCTTTCGTCAGCAACCCCCACCCAACAGTGACCCTATACAAGGGCAATATTAGTATCACATCCAAGTCTACGTTGTGGTTCAACTCAACAAGTAGCATCTGTCTTGCGATCCCTACAACTTGCAGCTGCAAGCTGATCATCTGTGGTAAGCTAGATTTGCAGCCACTGTGATTTGTTGGGGGTGATTCCCTCCAGGTTGAGTAACCATAGATTTCATGTCTCTGAGTACAGTTTACACACTGCTGTTTCCCAGGGCAAGTGCACTTACTGGGACTGGCACTGTGGCTCACACTTCTCTGGGCTAGTTTGGCTTTCGTCCTTGTCCAGAGGAAGAGGTTACTCAGTCTGTAGGTACTGCAGCTAGAGTTGTAAGGGCCACATTGTAAGAACTTACCTTCATATCCAAAAAGCAGCCTAACTCTGTCTTCCTCTGAAGTCACTAAGATTTGTCTTCAGTTGCTTGAAGGCAGTATTGGGTCCCCTTGGCATGTTATGGCTAGTGGGTCTCATTAATTCCCTAGATGGCTCAAAAGCAATATGCCTGTTTATCGGTCCCTAACCAGGCTTGCCCTGCACATGTGGCAAACTTAGCACCTCCAAGCAGTCAACTGATGCATTCTAACAACAGTTAGAATGTACTTTTTTTGCAGATACCAAAGACACTGCACCGAGTAAATCTGTTGTTCTCCTTTGTGAAATGGCAGGATTTTGCCAGCGTTGTATGAAAGCTAGTAAAAATTTCCAAGACACAAAAAAAAGAAGAAAATCAGACGTATCATATTCCCCTCTCACTTCTCTGGTTTTTTTCCATTCTGGAAGCACCCAGTGAAGTTTTAAAATCAGGATGTAACACACAGCTTGGTTACAGCTGACTCCTGTGGTCCTGTGAGACTGAACACTTCCAGGTGCATGGGGTGAAGTTTTACAAACAGTAACCCACGACCCTCACATGGTTTCCCCATGTCACCATGCCTGAACTTAAAGCTTGCAGAGTCATTTTGCAGTATGTACAGCAGTGCCTTGAAACAGATGTGTCCTCTGGATTTCATCACCCCCTGATAAGCTCATCCTGCTTATGATTGATTAACTAGGGAGCCTTCAAGGTTAAACATCTGAGAGCAAGAATTCTCCATCCTTTTGTCTGCCATGACACTGAAGTATGTTTCCCCATTCACCCTTCTTAGAGAAAGGCTCTGGTGCTTCAGGACCTGTTGGTGATCTCTTAAAGGGAACAAGAGAGACACACTGCCAGGGACAGCTTGAGATGAAACTGATACAGCACCAATATGATAATAATGAGGGACTATATTTGGAAAGATCTTTTAAGGTTATTTTTGTCTGTGATCATTGCTTCTGGACAGCCTGCTGAGCCCTCCCCAGTGTTTGGTTCTCTCTGCTAGTGCAGAAGTAGCTCAGTGTGGGCCTGTGGAGAGAAAGGATGTGCAGGCTGGGTTTCCTGCTCTGATTTTCAAGCAAACTCATCTGTCTTTGTGTGTAGGATACAGGCAACACTTCTTTCACTGCAGCCAGCCACTGCCTACCTAAAAGACTGAAAGCAGTTCTTTACCATTTTTTAAGAATTCCTGGTGTTATTGGCTCTCCCACTTCCCATGCTCCCTCTCTGAACCCACAGTTTCACACCACAGCTGGAGGACAGTTTCCTAGTCCCTAAAAATCAGTGTGAGCTTTCCCTGGCCTGGCATCACTGCGAGCCAGGCTGACACAAGAGGGCCCCTGGCAGCGCTGCTCACCTCAGTTTGAGGAGGGCAGGCAGGCCTGAGGGGCACGAGAACAGCTTTCTATCTGCTCAGAGATCTAATTGCTGGGTAGGACTTACCTTCTGCCTTCCCACACACAGCTTGTTGAGTGTTACAATAGGAACATACCTTTTCAAAGTTATTCAAAGCAGCCTGTTTACAAGCAGAGCTGGCTAA